GCATTACTAGGCATTTTTTGGGCATTAGTTTGGGCATTAGACCTTGCTGGGGCATTATAAAGAGAAGATAAGATAAAATAAGATAATGAGATAAAGTAATGCCCAGTGGACATTGGTGTACAAGATTTTGGTCGGCGGTTTTCCCCTCGGGTAAAGTAAATACAGAAGAAAAGTAAATACACGAGACATTCCAGTAGTTCCAGCTCCGAAACAGTGGGGAATGGGACATCTGTTCTTATGAACATTTTTGCTTAGAATGACCGATACTATCACCTCCCAGAATATTGACCTTTCTCCCTGGGACACCCTGTATAAGAGTTGATCTGACACTTTGTTTTTCTGTACGCATACTATTTCGAGCTTAGTACTGTATTTCCAAGACCGAAGGTTATCGGGGCGCTTGGTTTGTTGAAAAGATATGATAAAAATATAATCAAGTGTCAAGATCCAGCCGGGGCTGTAAGTGGCGTTCTTATTAGTGGTGGTTTACAACCTTGCTTTAAGTAAGCTGTTAAGCCTCCGCTACAATGATTCTCGGTTCTGTCTACAATGGTCGTAGTCGTAGTCGCTCGATAAGAATCAGTGAACTCTATACATACTGGAATGAGTGATCTATTGTTCTGGCTGTTGCCGAGAGAGAGGTGCGTTTGGGTGAATCCTTGTCTCCTTCTAGTACTACCTGATTGGATAGTCGCATATAAATGACGAGAAGAAGGGAGTCATTTATATGCGATTATCCAATCAGGTAGTACTAGAAGGAGACAAGGATTCACCCAACGCACCTCTCTCTCGGCAACAGCCAGAACTATAGATCACTCATTCCAGTATGTATAGAGTTCACTGATAAGAATTGACCAATCGCAGTCGATTATTCTTACGACTACGACCATTGTAGACAGAACCGAGAATCATTGTAGCGGAGGCTTTAGCCTTAAGCCGCAAGAACACACATAACCAAACGCAGGCATTTATTCCCCTCACTCACCTGCGATTGGTTACTTTCTTACGGTTTAAGGCTTATGCGGGGTCTACAATGCGACTCTCAGACTCGTAGTGTTTGGTTAAA